GGGTCAAATTAATCAATTAAAAAGCCCCAGCCGGCATCAACATAATTCTGGCCCACACTAACCCTAAAATTCTGCTGGGGTCATTTTGACCCTGGTAACTTGACTCGTAATTCGTAACACATATAATGATGTCGCATCTGAATTAGCCACATATCTGATTGCTACTTTAGATATTATAAGTAGCACCTGACTAGAATTAAATGCATGATCTAATTTCGGAGCTTAATTTTAGTCAGGTGCTACTTATGTAACCATAATTGCGATAAATGCATCATATGATATTCAAATTTACGAATTCTAATCATGCATGGCTTTAAACAATTAAGAAATTGTTATGTAACTTTCATGGCGAAGCTGCAGGTCAGATGTTAGTATTTTATAATCAATGAAGGGGTAAAAAAAATGACGAATCTTATAATAAACAAAATTGGAAATTCATGTTTTTTTTTTATAGTACAGTACAGTAATCTGGACAGATTACATATAAAAGTATTGTTTTATTATGTAAACCTTCATTTGGCTTCTTATAAAAGTTGTGGACCTTCTTTTGGCTTCTTATAAAAGTTGTGGACCTTCTTTTGGCTTCTTATAAAAGTTGTGGAACTAATTTTTCTGATTCTATGGTGGTAAATCATAAAATCGGTTGGATAGATTATGAGATATAGTATTTTTCGATTTTTTTACTATAGGGGTTTTCCTTCATACGGAATTCCACTTAACACATGAGTGATGCACAGGAAAAACCTGTAAGTAAAATCTTATTCGCTAAGCATTGTGCCGATCTTAGCCCTTGCAATCAGTGTTCTGGTCGTTTCGATGGCACGTGTCACCTTAATACGTCACTTCTCTAAAAACAAAAGCTGCAGCTAAGTTTTTTCTAACTTTGAGCTGACAACCACTATCTAAAATCGATAAATTTTTTTATTTTAATTATTCAGGCAGAGGCAGGCATATAGAATCAGAATAAAAAAATTTTCATCGATTTTAGATCGGTGGTTGTAAAACTTGGTTAACTATCAAACAGAAGTTGCGGTAAAGTTTTTTCCAAACATTGAGTGAAGATACCTCAACAACCACCTACCTAAAATTGACGAGAAATTATTTTATTCTTATTCTATATGAATGTATAATTAAAATAAAAAAAAAAATTTTATCATATAATAAAAAAATTTATCATATAAGTGTAAAAAAAATTTTGTCGTATGTAAATAAAAAATTTATATATAAAAAAAAAATTGGTCGATTTTAGATAGTTGGATGCCAAGATATCTTCGTTAAAAGTTTGGCTGAATAATTTGTCCAATCAGAATGCGACTGTTTAAATAGCATCTCATTTTAGTGACAAAATTTGTCTCAACGACTAGGATACTACTTCAACTAGAACCCAAACTAAGAATGTTCTCAAGCACTTACCTTAATGAATTTCATAAAGAATCTGATCAGCCTGGTTTGGTCAAACAGACATCAGATTCTTTGTTGAGTTCATTGAGGTAAGTATCTGTGAATGCCCTAAGTGCTTCGCCATCATACAGCCTTGAAGTTATTGTTTAGCTTAAAGCAACCCGAGAACTAATTGCATACATTATTCAATTAACTGCAGTAGAATTTGATTCGAAATATACAAAAAAAAAATAAGTATATAAGAACAAGAATCTCGACCAACATATAAACTACTGTATATAACCCAAGATCTAAAGCCTTTAATTTATTTAAAATTATTTTATTTAATTTAAAAATTTATTAATTTTAAAAAACTTTTTTTTTTCTTTTTTATTAATGGAAATCCCGAAAGATTTGGAATTCTTTTTTGAGACTCTAAACCCTACCTTCTCTACAACGGACCTCGGTAAAATAGAACACGATAATGAAACCTCTTCATTTGAATCAGAATCTAGTGAGGAGAATGAGGATGCTACGGATGAAGAAACTGAAAGGCATCAAACTACAATTGATGGATTAATCAACAAACTAAAGTTATGCTGTTCGTGTAAAAATAAGTGCAGTAAAAAGGTTTCATCAGACCTTTTGCAATCTTTAGTATCAGAAAGTATTAAAATGAATAAACAACAACGACATTATTCAATGATAATACTTATGGCCTCCTCTAATAAAGGACCACACAAACAACAATTCCATATCAAATATCAACTGCCGTATTTCAGTGAAGTTTGCAGTTCCTTTTTTCAAACATTTTGGATATGCTGTAGAGATGCATTTTATAGTCTTTGTAGACGGGTTCAAGAAAAGCAATCAATGCTTTCCCGACCTCATAGAAATATTGGCCATTCACTTGTCAACAAGTTACCTGCTAAGACAGTTAGTGAAGTAAAATCTTTTATTAAATCGGTTGGAAAACAATATGGTGAGGCGTTGGTAATTCGGAAGTATATTCGAAAAAAGAAGGATGAACAAATTACTGTGCAATATGAAAAGCACGATTTTGTCTTTCTTCCATCTCACTATTCAAATAGTCGCCTTTCTGTCTTTTATAACTTAATTAATCTGAATAACACTATAAATCATTGGACCTTTCGAAGAATATGGAAAGATGATAATGAGCTTGGCAAAATTATCATCAGAAAACTATCCAAAGACGTGTGTGATGAGTGCTCCCTTTTTAAATGTGCATTAAAAGAACGAAGTAATGTGAATAAAGATCTTAATGAGCAGTTTATCACGCATATACAAAATTATCGTGCTATGAGAGAGGCCTATGAAAATGATATTCAGGTAGCAAGAAGGAGTAATCAGTCTTCGCTTTGTATTTTTTCTTTTGACTTCACCCGAAATGTAGAGCTGCTTTATGATCCACAACAACCAGGAAGGTGGTACTATTCATCGTTGTTGAAGGTACACCAATTTGAACTAGTGGATGAAGATATTGACCGTCATTGGCATACTCTTTACACCGAAGGAAAGGCATTAAAAGGGGCAAATGAAGTCACATCGATCGTGCATCTATTTTTCACTTCTGCTGTAGGTAAGTAGTTTGATTCAGTTTATAACCTTTAAAATGTGACTTAAAAAAGTTTTTAACTGCATAGGCAAGGCAAACGAAATTAGATTATGGGCGGATAATTGTGGTGAACAAAACAAGAATTCATGCCTTTTATGGTATTTTCTTTGGGCTTGCCACATCAAAATGGTTCAAAAGATTGAATACCATTTTCAGATTAAGGGTCATACTTGAAATTCTGTTGATCGTAGATTTGGTAATACCAAAAAGGAGTATGCCAGATCAGAAATCTGGTGCATCGACCAGTTAGCTGATGTAATAGATAAGAGTGCGAGCAATAATGTTTCTATAAACTTGGAGGATCAAGTAGGGCTATTCCACGATTGGACTTTAGCACTTAGCTCATTATACTGTAAACCTCCAGCTATTCAAAAATATCACCTTTTTCAGTTTAGCTGTAAGGAACCCAGTACAATGAGAGCTAAAATCAGAACCACTGATCTTTGGGATAAATTCTGATTACTGAAACAAAATGCCCATATTGAAAATTTAAACCCTTAAGAGCTTCCGTTAAAAGGCCTTCCTGAAGAAAAACAAGTAGACCTTTGGAATAATATTCACCCATATTGTCCAATTGCTTTCCATGACAAATTTTGTTTAAAGCCGGATGATGACATAGTAAAGAGGATTAGTAATCTAAAAAGGACTCGTGAAAAAGAGGCTCAACAAAAGCGAAAGGTTAAAAAAAAAGAAATATAGCTAATAATGTATATCAGTATTAACATTAAAAATAAAGACCAAAATCCTGATTAGATTACGTACGTACGTACGTATGTACGTATGTTTGTACATATTGTATTACCGAAATGACTAGAACATTGATTATATACATTTTAATACATTCTTCAGGGGTTAAGATTTGCATAGTGATTAATGAATGAAATTTTACTTACAGGTTTTCTCTGTGCAGCTCTCATATTAATATGATATATCATCAAATATAGGATCCGGTTCTTTACACAGTACCCATAGGTACTATTCAATTTTACAAATGGAGTTCTTAAATAAGACCCTGGGTACTTTAGGCAGTGGCCAATGGTTTAAAGGTGATTACTTCAAATAGAAAAAATGGTTTCGTGATGCACAAAAATGTAAATTTTTAAAAGTGAACAATATCATTTGTTTACTTACAAATATACATATATGCTGATTTTTGCGATCTACACATTTCAAAACAATCTAACTTTGGTCAAATTTTCATGCGCATTAGGCCA